CTGGCGGTTCAAACCCACCAGCCACTCCTCAGAAGGAAGGTTGGGCAATCTACTTCCGTAGTGATACTGCCTCAGAAACCCAAGGAGGGGTCGCAATGAGTCGGGGCCGACTCGATGGCAAATAACAACAACAAACAACACTTTGATATGGGCCTCATCCACCTAACACAACAAACAATAACACATCACATAACAAAAAAAACCCTGTTCCCAAATGGGATTCCGTCCACAGGTATAGGCGTTAACTTTTACAATGCATATTTTTGGGGGGGACACCATAACACGATACCCATCAGCATACCATCCTCGTCTCCAAAACTGTCAGATCTGGGATTTGATTTCATCTGACCTGCAGGCTCACCTGTTCTGTCTTGAAGATGCTGACAGAAGGCACAAGACTCCTGGTTCCAAAAGAAAGAACTTAGTCATCACTGCACAGCAAGCAATGGGAGCATCCATGTGTTTGCATCAGCTCCCTTTGATGCCCAAGTCCCAAGAGGGCAAGACAGAGGGCCTATTTGGATGCCTGCAGCATGGGGTTGTATCACAGAAGAACATGGATCTCGCAGGGTCTGCTGCTGTGCACCCAACAGGGAGCGAGCCTGCTCTTTGTCTGGGGCCGGGGTGGAAGAGACATTAGCTCATCTGTCAAGCTTACCAGTTGCATAAACAACCCTTAGAAATGATCTGTATAAATGGACAGTTAGGGGACAGGCAGAACTGCATCATGAGGAGGTTCGTGCACGGTGGAGAATGGAACCAGTGTCCCTGAACCACTTGTTTAAAAATTGTTGAATGGGCACCTGCTGTGTAGTAAATTACCTGGTGTGGCTTTTCTAGCTATGTTGTTGTTCTTGTTGTTTTTATGTGCCCTCGAGTCAGCCCTGACTCCTAGCGACCCCTCCTTGGGTTTCTGAGACAGTATCACTACGGAAGTAGATTGCCCAACCTTCCTTCCGAGGGGTGGCTGGTGGGTTTGAACCGCCACCCTCCTGGTTAGCAGTCAAGTGCCTTAAGCACTATGCTACCAGAGCTCCTACCTTCACAGAAGCAAAGCCCAAACCAAACCCAGTGCCTGGAGGGGATTCCGACCCACAGCGCCCCTAGAGGACAGAGTGGAACTGCACCACAGGGTCTCCCAGGCTGTCAGTCTTGATAGGAGCAAAGCCCAAACCACACCCACTGGAAGCAAAGCCCAAACCAAAGTCACTGCCATTGACTTGACTTGACTCCTAGCGACCCCTCCTTGGGTTTCCAAGGCAGTATCACGATGGAAGTAGATTGCCCCATCTTCCTTCGAGGAGTGGCTGGTGGGTTTGAACCACCAGCCTCCTGGTTAGCAGTCAAGTGCCTTAGGCACTATGCTACCAGAGTTCCTTTAAGTCTTTGTAAACTCCGTGGTGGAATTTGCCATGAGCAACTGAGGAGCTCCTGATTGTAAGTTATCCACCTGGGGTATTTCTGTTGGGCATGGCACAAAGCCATGTTCTGGGAAGTTCACTCTCTCTCAGGTGCTTAGAATTCTGATGTTATGATTGGCTAGTTTGGCCACTGTGCCAGGCTCAAAAGGAGGCCTCCTAGAGGCAGAAGTCTCTCTCTGACCTCTGGCTGAGAAGGACGTGCTGCTGAAAGAGTCACACTCCTGAGAGACACGTGCTGCTGGGAAAGAGACGCAAGAGACACGCATTGCAGAGAGAGACACCC